GAAGGCACAACACTTGACACTATCTTCTTATGTTGGTGTCTTGATCTTGATGTCGGAACAACGCACGTCTAAAGTCTATATAGTCCAAATGAGCGCTCACAAGAAGTTCCTACGCGACCGCGGTAGACCGGAATGGGAGGATTCACTGCTAAACTGACTTTACACTGGTTGATAAAATTAATTTAATTTAAAGAGGTGAAAATGTTATGAGTACTGTAAAGGGGCCACGGACTAATCCGAGTGGCAATAATAGAGTGAAACTATGAGAGGGAAAGCCGCAATGGCAGAAAGAATAAATTATGTCAAAGTTACATGTGTTAAGCTAGGGTTTCCAAGAACACGCCAGCGTGATCTGTCCGGCGTGATGTCCGTTGGCGCCAATTTTTGTCCGGCGGATGTCCTATCAAGTTTGGCGTGAGGGTGGTTTGCAAGAAAGCGGATCTCGCGGTTATTTCTCTTGGGGAATGAGCTATTTGTCAGTTTTTAACCAACATGGACGTTGTAACTGTTGCTCTGTTGCGGGAAGAAGAGGAGGAGGAAGAGTCCATGTTTATAAATCCAATAAATGGTTTTTTATACAAAAAAAGGAGTTAATGAACAAAGAAACCCGCCATTACATAGCAATCGATAATAGGCTATTACAAAATAGAATTGGTTTACTCCCAAACGATTAACACCTGTAATAATATTAAGGGGTTACGCCACTATCTGTAGGCCATATTTTTATTTTTTTTTTACATTTTCCAAAAGTTGCATTTTTAGATAGGCCATTTAAATGTGAACATTTAGCTAAAATTGTTTGCCAATCTGACACCCCCTTCTAGTATAAAAAAAATAAAATATAAAACGCCGCAACCAGTAATTTAAGAAAATTTTGGACTATTTTTTTGTTCCTGATATTTACACTTTTAATTTTGTATCATAATTATGTATTATGAAGGTATAAAGTAGGGTACATTTATTTAAAACAAAATAAGTACTTTGCTATTTTTATATATAATATAAAATAATAAATTAGTGTAGTTATGGGAATTTTTCTTCTGCCAACCACCTGTTACATCACCTGCGATTATCTCAATACAGTGTTTTTTTAGGTTATTATTGTACAAAAGTTTGAATAACTCCGTTAGTTAATCCGCTCAAGCGGACATTCGCAGTTTTTACACATTTTTACAAGAATCCTCACAGAGTCCTACACTTGTCCGCTCGGCGTGCACGCCAGAAATGACTTGGGTCATTTCCAGCGTGCCACGCTCTGGACTCACGCCGGACAGATGGCGGGAAAACTCATGTCCGGCGTTTTCGCTCGCGCTTGGAAACCGCACCCATATAAAAGCACGGCTTCAATTTAAACTTGATTACGTAATCACGCTTGTCCACTCACGCTGTCCGCCCGGCGTGATCTTGGAAACCCTAGCTTTAGGTAAACCCGGCAACCGACAGACAGACCAAGCGTCCCAATGCGACGCTAAAACTTCGCAAAAATATCCTTCCGCCTAGTTCACCAATGGGCATTGTGCTGACCCCACTAGGTTGAATTGAAAACCCCTACTCTCTCTCTGTCGGCGGCAAATACAAATGTATAAATTATATAATAGTACAAGAAATAAAAACATTTTCCTGAAAACTTACTTAACAATAACATTTTTATGCAGTGTACAGCATGGCCTACTAATCTAAGAAAACGAAAAACAAACATAACCCTTAACTGTACGTACTGTTGAAAGAAATAAAAAACTACATACTATATTCAAAATTTTTCATTTAGGAATATCATTTTTATGCAGAAAACAGTAGGGCCTACTTATCTAAGAAAACAAAAAAACAATCATGAACTTTAATGCATTAGAATGAAAAACGACATAATCAAAACATTTCTTAAAGAATAGGCCTACTGTAACATTTTTATAGAGCAGAACAGTAGGGCCTACTAATCTAAGAAAATGAAAAACAGACATAACCTTTTTGAACTGGAATGATTAACTACCTAATCAAAACTTTTCTTAGAATAACATTTTTATAAAACAGTAAAATTTGGCCTACTAGGCTAACTCAAGAAAATGAAAAACAAACATAACGTTTAACTTAAGGTATGGGGTCGTCACCTAATTCCACAACGGTCAATAAACTGTCAATCTTCTTTTGCTTTTTAACTTAAAAAGACAATTTTAACACTTTCTCTTGAAGTCGTTTCAAGAGAAGAATCTCACTCGCGGACACATTGTTTTCCTCGGCCCACTTAACAGACGTCGTAAAAGCGTCCATAGCTGCATCGTTGCTCACAGTGTGAAGACTGCACGCTGCCCCTCTCTCATCACCGTCTTCTTCTTCATCTTTATCAGTCATCTGGTCGACTATTTCGTCGTCTGTCATAATCTGTCCATTTTCTTCTTCTCCGCCTATCAGCCACAGTCTAACCTCATCTGTTGTCAGGCTTTCGTTGTCTTCTACCAGTTTTTCAGAACGTCTCACGCAGTTCAATTAGTTCACGCTCACAATCAACACTTTCTTCGTCTTCTATAAGATCAACAGCGAGCGGCATATCAACATCTTCGTCTTGGTCATTAACTGATTCGTTGTTTTTCCTTCTGTTGAATTGTTCCAACAACGGCATGTCAGGCCATACGTTGCGCCATGAACATATAATAGTCTTTTCGGAAAGATTTTCCCAAGCATTGGCAAGGTCAAAAACCACGTCTTTCAAGTTAGTTTCCTTAAGCGACTGAATCACGCTGGATTCTTTCGACAAAACTTTGTAAAGCAAAGCTTTTTTGTAGTGCATCTTGATCGTCTGTATGACATTTTGGTCCATAGGCTGAAGAATCGGCGTGACGTTGGGCGGCAAAAACATAACATGGAAGACCAGTTAGTTTTCAATTCATCTTCAGGAGGGTGACCAGGGCAGTTGTCTAGGATTAGCAAGGCTTTTTGGGGCAATTTCTTTTTTTTAAGAAACTTCTTTACAGAGGCCACAAATAGTTGATGGAACCATTCCTTAAAAACTGACTGTGTCATCCACCCTCTTCCTGCATTCTTGTAGTCAACAGGCAGGTTGACATTTTTAAATGCCCTAGGATTCTTTGCTGTCCCGATAACCATAACCAATAAATCCAATTTATGTTCGCCACTTGCATTCGAACATGGCATGAATGTAACTCTGTCCTTGGCCAGTTTTCGTCCCGGGGCACTCGCTTCTGCACGGTGTACGAAAGTCTTCTTCGGCAAAAGACGGTAAAATAACCCACTTTCATCGGCATTATAGACTTGGTCAGGAGTTAGATCAAGTTCCTCAATGATTTCTCTAAACTTTTCTATATAAGGGTTGACTGCAGCCACATCACAAGATAGTTTTTCACCTGTCATGCTCAGCAAACGAATGCCAAAACGTTTTTTGTTTTTTTTCAACCATCCTTCACTTGCCTTAAAATTGTCTTTCCCCATTATTTTTTCGTAGAAAATCTTTGCCTTTTGTTTTAGGATTTCCCCTGATATTGGCGTGTGCCCGTTACGCTCTTGCATGAACCACGCATATAGACTATCCTCAACCTGAGGAAACTCACCTTTCTTTATTGTTTTTCGCACACTTTTTACATTGTCACTGTTTACACAGAATGATGTTATTTTCTCGCGGTTCTTTCGAATGTCATGAATAGTAGCCCGGCCGACTCCATACTCGTTGGCTAGATTTGTAAGTCTGTCACCCCTGTCCAATCTCTTCAATCTCTTCAAAATCTCGTTTTTTTTTATCAATGTTAAGGTTTTATACCGTTTGCACTGAGACATTTTCACTCATTATCTACAGTTACATTAGTTTCGTTCAGTACTGTAGTGTACTTTAAAATCACGTTAACTGACACGACACAGCATAAGTTCACACTAGGCACTCTGAATTACTGTACAGTACACTGTTACAGAGACGGGACAACGCAACAACTGGCGACCGGAAGTCATCTGTTTACAATAGTTTCAATAACGTGTCTCTACTTGATCCCCCCACCACGCCAGTCTACAGACGCCGGATTACTGGAGTGCCGGAGTGCCGGATTACAGAGGGTCTACTGTATTCAGGAAAACCTACCGATGACCAATCACTAGTTATGTATCAAAACAGTCACGTTGATCAGAATGTTGATTGGTCTTGGATGTACAGGGTGGCTAAAAAAATCCGTACATTTTTGATACAAGCATTATTTTATTTGTGTCTATTCTATTTGGTCTATTACTTATATTGTGTGTTCTATTTGTGTCAATTATAACTTTTATTACATTAAAATTTCCGTTAGCTCTTGCCATTTAATAAACACACTACGTACTAAACACAGTTGCTGCAATGTACTTTACTTGGAATGGTATGCTTCGGAAAGATCAAAAAGTATAAAAAAGGCCATTTAAAGTTTTGAATCTCGCCAGTGTGGTATTTGGTAAGTTAGGCATGCAGCAATGCATTTTCACATTTATAATATTTTTTAAAATCAAAATTCCTCACTAAACTACAGAAAAATTCAGTTCAAGGAACATTTTTGCCGTTGAAAATAAATTATTTCATGGGCAGCATAAATTATATTTGCTATTCAACTATTTAAGACACTCGATTAAATCCTGATTGTGGCAGTATCAATGAAAATTAATTTTTAGGGTAGGGTGTGTTTATGATCCATCATAAATGAAGTTAAAATAGTAATTTCGTTGTATGTTATGGATGTTTATGTGTTCCTTAACCAGTGAATTTTAAATTTTAAAACACAACTTAGATTTTTTATATCAACTACAATAGATATATCTCATAGGTTACCTTTTTAATTTGACCACAGCTTTTAAACTCACACTAAGTAATAAACACATGCTGGCATTTTATTATGTAATTTTGGTTACAACATTTTGTTCATAATACTCTTATAAAATATCAGAGACATAGCTATTTAGTTTTCATGTTCCATCTATTGGTTGGTTTTGTACTATGTGTGGGACTAATGTGTGATAATGTTTCAATTTTGTTTTAGCAGCAAAAAAACGGAAGAAAAAGCCAAAAAAGAAGAGGGGGTGAGGTCACAGCTTCAGCCTGGCTTGCCCAGGTAAAATCTAGATTAAATAGAGTTGATTTTAGTGATGTGTCAAAACCGAATTTCAAATCTCAAAACCATCAAAACTTAGGAAAAGTTTCGGTTTTGAGATTCGATCACCAAGTTTCGAGATTCAAAAGTTTTGAAATTGAAGATTTTGGCTGTTTTATTTTTGAAACTGCTGACATTTTTTTGTGCTATTGTTATTGTTTTCAATGCTGTTTCCAAACAATCTGGTAGAAACAGTGCAAACATCACCATTAACAGTAATGAAACAAGTAAATTTTATTCTGAACTTCAAAAGGTACCTTAAATACTATAACTGGTATAATTCAGTTTCACATCAATATTTACTAAACACAAAGAAATATTGACCACTAAATGTTCTATCCAATATTCATGTATATGTTGGTGTTAGTAGTTTAATTTTTTTTTTATGATAAATTATGTTGTATTGGGTTTTAAGATTATCAGTCACATTCACATATTTATCTTATGTCACGGTCAGGAGTCAATCCCTTTCAGTTTTGATTGCATACTATACATTTTATGATTATCTGTATTTTTTGTAACCTTGACCTTTGTAACCAGCTAAGTAAAAAAGTTTCGCGTTTAGGTTTTGAGATTCAAGATTCGGGATTCGATTTTTTAAAGTTTCGGTTTCGGTTTTGAAATTTGAAATTTCTGGTTTTGACCATCACTAGTTGATTTTGGTTGTAGGTACTGCTTTTGCACACTAACCCGGACCCCCCAAAAGGATTAGCAAGGGTCAGTTAATCTTGTTTGCGCTTACTTCAGGCCAGGTAGCCAACGTGACAGTATTCCACGCTGGGCAACTATTTGTAAACAAACCCTTACACACTGGATAAATATTTGTAAATAAGTCACCACTCGCCTTCATTCCTTTCTACCCTTCCGTGCATACTCACGATTGGCTAATGCTAGAATTCCAAAGTGACACTTTCTTCAAAACTACTTAATATCGTGCGTTGTTGGCCAAGTTTGACAGTTATCAACTAAAAGTGATGGAGAGAGTGACAAAGACCGAATTATTATAATTTTGGGTTTTTTTTTTCAATTAAATTGAGTGGCAAAACCTTCTAAACTTAGTCAAGTTAAGATTGTTTACATGTTCAGGCAATCTGTTAACATTCTTTTACCAACCTCTAAAGTTGAATTAATAGTTCTTTGAAAATTACATTGGTTGATTCTTAGATGATTTTTTTGTCTTGTTCCATAATTATGAATAGAACTATTAGTTTTAAACTGATCGAAATTAATTAAAATATAGACTAAACATTCAAAAACATACAAAGATGGAGCAGTCAATATCTTAAGTTTCCTAAAAAGTGGTTTACAATGAGATCTACGGTTAACATTTAAAATCAATCTTAATGTTCTCTTCTGTAACAATAACAGCTTTCTTATATCACTATCACAGCCCCAAGCCAATATGCCATATGACAAATGACTCTGTATATGTGCAAAATATATAGCAGATAAAACATCTAAACTAACAGTTGACTTAAGTATTCTAATAATAAAAATTGCTTTGGAAATTTTATTGCACAGGTAACTTATATGATTGTCCCATTTTACATTAGACTGTAAAAACACACCTAAAAACTTTACAACAGACAATTCATCACTACTATTTCCAAGACAAAATTCAAGACTCTGCGTTTTCTCTTTATTTAAACATAACATGTTTGCAGTAGCCCAATCCTCAATTAGCCTATTTGAACTAAGAAACAGTTGATCAGCAAAATTTTTATCCTTAAACTGAATTTGCAAGGCCAGGTCATCTGCATACATATAAGGTGTTACATGATCATCAGAGCAGCAGGTAAGTCATTTACATAGATAATGAAGATAGTAGGGCCTAAAATAGGCCCTTGTGGCACACCAGTCGGGACTGGCAGGTAAGGTGAAAAACAGCCATTGTAGAAGACTGACTGATATCGCTGTGACAAGTATGAGTGTATCAATTTTACAGAGAGAGTGTCAAAACCATAAAAATAAAGCTTATTCAATATAACATCATGGTCTATGGTGTCAAAAGCTTTTGACATGTCATAAAAATATCCACGCACAATTTCTTTAGCATCTAAACCAGATATACAATCTTTCGTAAAATTAATGATAGCATTACTTGTCCCTCTCTTCGCCCTAAAGCCATACTGCATGTCAGAAAATAACTTATTACCCTCAGAATAAGCTTTGACCTGAGCATTTAACAAGAACTCAAAAACCTTAGATAAAGCTGGGATAATTGATATAGGGCGGTAGCTGTCATACTTTTCTTTACAGCCTTTCTTAAACACAGGTATAACTTTTACAAACTTTAAACATTGTGAAACAACACCCTCATCAATGCACGAATCAAACAAATATGTAAGCACTTCTACAATGTATGGTGCTACAAGTTTTAAAATTAAAGAATTAATAAAATATACATCTAGACAGAGACTATGAATTAACGAGTTAATTGCACTATATACATGTTCAACTGACACATTACAAAAAGTAAACTTATTCTGTACCCCATCTATATTGAGCTTATCCTATCCAGGTAAAATTGTACACCTGCATTTGACTTAGGAACACTTAGGACAGTAGCTTTTACAGAATTTATAAAATTGTCATTAAACTTTGAACAATCTAAGTTCAAATGGTTACCATCAACTATTGGTTTCTCATTTTTGTTCAGGCCCTCGTTTACAATAGACCAAATTTCCTTGGGTTTATTACAGGCATTTTGCACTCTATTGGAATTATAGGCTAGTTTTGCCTTTCTAACTGCTTTTTTATAATCACGTTTAAGCCTACTATAATTATCTCTATACTCTATACACCCAGTTGTTTTAAATCGGTGATATATCAAAAGACACTTTTCTTTTAACACAGCTAAATCATTATTGAACCACTTAAATTTATTTTTTTACCTTTTACAAACAGCTTTTTTAATATTGACTGGGAAAGTTAGCCTGCCTGTCTCGCCATTCTTCCACTGCCTTGGTACAATCAATGAAGACTTGTGAGCCCAATTTTATATCTGCTCGTACATCTTGATCTTCTTTTGGCGAATTTCCCTATTGGGAAGTAGCAATTGCCGTAGGTGGCACGGTCAGACCTAGACCCGGGACCGATTTACTTTTTCATTTTGATGTCCCCAGAGGCCAAAAACACCGTTCAAAAAACTTGGGTAATTTTTGTCCGATTTTGATGAAATTTTGTTTAAAGGTGTAAAGCGGGATAAACTCGAATGAGTTCGCGAACCAGCAAGGTTGGACTATGGCAACGGGGTTTTACGGAGGTTTTATGGGGTAAAAATTGGGTTTTCTCACTTTTGACCCTCAAAACACAAAATTTCCCAATTTCTCTTTAGACCTTTTTAAAGAGCTTAAAAAGCAAATAATTTAGTATATAAAAGTATATTTTTCGGTTATTGGTAACGGAGAAAATAAAAAAATTGTAAATTTAAAATTCCCATGTTATTCTTATGGAGAATATTGTAAAATGTTGTAGTTTGCTTGTTTATGGATATATTTTGATCAAACTTGGCATGGCAAATTTATTTCTTTTAGCGAATTTCCCTATAGGGAAGTAGCTATTACCGTAGGTGGCATGGTAAGACCTAGGCCCGGGACCGATTTACTTTTTCATTTTGATGTCCCCAGAGGCCAAAAACACCATTTGTTCAAATTTTTATAAATGTATATAATATATATATATATATAATATATAATATATATATATATATATATATATATATATATATATATAGATTTATTAATAATTTTGGATTTTTCCATTTCTGTCATAAAGATTTCTGATAAAAGTCCTGAAAGGGGAGATCCCATTGGTAGACCATCTTCTTGAAGATAGAAAGACGAATCATAACTAAAGTAATTTTGCTTAACAGTTACCTCTGTAAGTTTGATAATATCATTTATTTCATTTATTTTCAATTTGTTGTTTTTTATTAGGTTTCTTTTGTTATATATAGATTTATATATATATATATATATATATGTGTGTGTCCGTGAACGCGATAACTTGAGTAATTTTTGTTCGATTTTGATGAAATTTGGTTTAAAGGTGTAAAGCGGGATAAACTTGAATGAGTTCGCGAACCAGCATGATCGGACTATGGGAACGGGGGTTTATGGGGTAAAAATAGGGTTTTCCCATTTTTGACCCTAAAAACACAAAATTTCAAAATTTCTTTCTAAACCATTTTATAGAGCTTAAAAAAACAAATAATTTAGTATATTGAAGCGTTATTATGCGCCTAATGGTTACGGAGAAAATTCAAAAAAAATTTTAATTTAAAATTCCCATGTTATTCTTATGGAGAACAAGTAAACTGTTGTAGTTTGCTTGTTTATGAACATATTTTGATCAAATTTGGAAAATACATTAATTTCTTACTAAACTACAGTACCTATTAACATTTTACATAAAAAAAACAAACACTTTTTTCCCTCCCTGTTGCAGCAAACCTAAGTACTCGTTAATTAAATTCTATTTAAATAGGGAATAATTTTTATATTTTAAGGAGACATTTTAGTGTAAATCCAAACAGGCAAATGGAAATTCGCTAAGTCTGCAGGTTTGCTGCGGGGGGGGGGGGTATTATACTAAGCTATAAATATTTTACTAAAAACACACTTTATTAGTTTCCTTGTAGCAGCAAACCTAGGTACTCGTTAAACCTAATGTTATTTAAATATATTTAATTGAAAATCAATTCAGACTAATGGAAATTCGCTTATTCAACAGGTTTGCTGCAGCGGGGGTATTTTTTTAAGCAGTAACGTGGTGGGTTAATGACAAATTTGGAGGCATTTGATTACCTGAGATAGCACTCACAATTATTATTATTTATGTTTACATATTTAATAGTGGACAATTTAAACGTTGTTGAGTGCACAGGTGTGCTGTGATTGGGGTTTAATATATTTGGACTTATCCAAAAGTAAAATAGTTTTCCGTGCTGCATTCTGTGGAAACAGTGTGGCACTATTTCAAATGATGACTAATACAGAATGTTGTGATTATTCAAACCTACAAAATAGTAGGTGAAAGTAAACATCTGTTTTTAAATTATATTTATTTTTAAACATTGTAGTTCCAAAAGTCTGACATTGGACCACTTAAAACCCTCTGGGGCGGAGCCCTTTTTACGGATCTGCACCAAACTTCACACAAACCATCCTTGAATAGTGCTTAATAACGCCTAAAAGTTTCATTACAATATGTCGGGCGGTTTCGGAGTCCATAGGGGATATACATACATACATACTTCCTCTTTTATAGATATAGATAGATACTAGCAGTTACCCGACGCGCGTTGCTGCGCTTAACAACTATTATTTTAAATGGCAATTTTTTTTCTTTACGATGAATAATAAAATTGTATACTTAAAATAAAAAAACAATATTTTACTTAAATGCCAGTGGATAAACAATGTTTTTTTTTTGTTTTTTCATTAGGTGTATGAATATATAAGTTTGTTGGCGTAAAAAAACTTTTATATATATTTATATATAATTTTATATATTTATACACCTAATATGTTTTACATGAGCACACAACATGCAGCTGTCCGTGTGAAAAGCATGCATTTTCTTAATTTAAACCGACGATAGCCAGGGATTGCCCTAGAGCCTTATAGTAATGATTGCGAAAGCAAGACACAAAGGAAATTGTAATTGCTTAAATTCAGAGGTTAATTCGGATGAAATCATCAGTATTCTTGAGATTAAGACTATTTCTTCTTTAAACTTACCTTCTTTTTTAAACTTACTGATAACTTTTGCTTCAATCAATTTTGGTGTCATTTTTTCAATCGTCAGTCTGGTAACGTTACACAGCTTCAGTGGATTTACGTTTCGCATTAGTATTATTGGAATTCCTTCGTGTAATGACAGTAATGTGGTGGGTTAATGAAAAATTGATCGAGAGGCATTTGAATACCTGAGATAGCATGCACGACTATTATTCACTTAATAATTTTTGTTGAATTGTGTGGGTGTTGAAGAAAAGATAAAAATCTTAAGACATTACCATCCCTTTTAGCGAATTTCCCTTATAGGGAATATTAGCGAATTAGGGAATAAGCTATTACCGTAGTACTCATGGTAAGACCTGGACGCGGGACCGATTTTTTTTTTTTTTTGAGGTCCCTAGAGGCCAAAAACACCATCCGTTCAAATTCATATATATATATATATATATATATATATATATATATATATATATATATATATATATATATATTTATATCTATACTAGCTGTACCCGTGGGCTTTGCCCTGTTTAACTTCATAAGTATTCGCATGGCTCAATCACGTCCTGGTTGAAGTTCGTTCGCGACGCTCACTCACTTTTACGTTGGAGCTCGTTCGCTGCGCTCACTTGCTTTCAGGTTAGCTCGTTCGCTACGCTAACTTGCTTCCAGGTTGAAGTTCGTTCGCCACGCTCACTCACCTTTTGGTTGCAAATTAGCTGTTGTCATAAATGTAAAAGAAATAATAGTGCTGCACCCTGTTGGTAATCCTTGTAACTTTAATGCTATTGAAACATCATAGAACAGAACCAACATGTTTAATTGAAACAGCTGTTAGATTCATTAATTCCATTTAAATATGATTACTCATAAGATTAACATGGGAAAGTCCAGAGCCACTGGGGCGGAGCCCGAGAGTCTGATCAGAATAAAAACAGCTTAGTTTTCCTATTTAATGCCTAAAGAATCAGTGTACCAAATTTCAGCCTCCTAGGTAAATGGGAAGTAAGAGAAATAGTGATGAGTGAGTGAGTCAGTGAGGGCTTTGCCTTTTATATATAGATATATATACTAGCTGTACCCGTGGGCTTTGCCCCGTTTAACTTTATAAGTGAGCTCGTTCCCATGGCTCAATCACATCCTGGTTGAAGTTAGTTCGCTATGCTCATTCACTTTTAGGTTGGAGCTCGTTCGCTGCGCTCACTTGCCTTCAGGTTAGCTCGTTCGCTACGCTAACTCGCCTCCAGGTTGAAGTTCGTTCAAAACACCAGATTTCGGGTTGTTAACTAATTTATTCATGTTAATTACACATTTATTCAGGTTATTAATTAACTTTGACTAGTTAGAAATTTTTTTTGACAATAATACTTACGTTATTTATTGCATTTTGCTGGCCTTTTCTTTTTTTAGCGGCACTTCTCATTATAGTCAATTCCAAATCTTCCTCACCTTCGTTGTTATCTTCTGCCGTACATCTATTAGTGGTATGAGTCAGAGATGAGAAAAAAGCATGGTACTCTTCAGGAATAACTTTAGTCACACAAAGATCCTGCAAATCTTTGTACTTGGCTGAAGTTATAGGAATCCGGTTCTTATACGCTTGCTTAGGGACAGGCGCAATTGCAGAAGGATCTTCTAGCATTGACTTGGCAAGTCTGGGTGACTTAATTCTGGAACTGCTTGCATCTTCTGGGACTCTTGTGACGTTCAGCTCTTTGTAATTATCCCAATATTCAGTTTTTAAAAACAAAGAGTTTTCTTCAATTTTTAAAAACTTAATACAGCTAACTTCTGTCCAGTTTAAGGTACTGAAGTCTTCGGCGATTTTTTTGTTTTTAAACACTTCATTGGTGTAGGTTTTGAAGTTTAAAAACTCTTTTACAGACATCCGGTTTACATTATAGGGGTTACCTCCTTTTTTGGCTTATTTTATAACGTTGATCCATTCGTTTGGCCAGTAAATCTGTGCGTGTTCACTAGATTTTTCTATCGCCGCATGCATCGAGTCACACTCCATGTGAGTGTGACCGGGCTCGAGAAATTTCAGCTCTATTGATTCTAGTGTAGGATGTTCTTTAATGGCATAATAGAGCATTCCTGGCACAATATTGTGTTACGATTCTGCCCAGGGTAACAATCTGAATACAAAATCAGCCGTTTGCATGTTAGTGGTAAACTTGAAATAAACTTATACTATAAGCTATCTCATTTGATCCTCTTTTTCCGTTACTTTCATCCCACACATAGCAATGCCTTTTTTTTGCGACTTCGTACACTGTGAAGTTAAAAGTAGCAAATTTCCTCTTGTAAAATACAGGTTTTTTTATTTTCTATGGGACAGTATAATACTGCCTGTAAATCAAAGTTTGCGGTTATAATAGAAGGATCTTCTTGCGCCAATTTTTTATCGTATTCTTTTTCAGTATTTGCTAAGTTTTTCCTATGAGTATGCATTTCATATTCTTCTCTTCTTTCTTCTTTCTCTTCTTCCCTTAACTGTTCATAGTTGTGGCACCAACACTGGTCCTTCCTAAGTAAGGAGTAAAGAAGCCAATATTTTTAGCTATAAGTTTTTCTTTGTATATAGTTTTTTTAAGAGGTACCATGTTAGTGTTTTTGCAGTAATCTTCGTAAAGGCTATACATTCTTTCTTTGTTTAGTTATGCCTGGAGGTATTCTTTTTTTTGTCTTTACGACACCAATGTGCAGGGACTCTCGGAAATGAATCTATATGGGCCTCCATGTGGTGAACTCTTTCAGGGGGTAATTTGTTGTGAAGAACGTGTTTTCCTCTTTTATCTGGGCTAGGCACACAGTTCGAAGCTCTACCACTGCTGCCAACTGTAGCCTCAAAATATACTACATTAAGTAGGCCTAGAGCATTATACAATAGCTATTTAATTTTATGTTAATTGTTTGAGATTTATACGTCTTATTTATTGTGAATATTCATAACTTCATCCATTTAAATTATCTTATTCCTCTATAGTGTATGCAGATACGCCCTTATGGTTCACTATTTGTTCTGCACAAAAAATATTTTATTTATTTCCAAAAGGGCGTATGCGCCATACGCCCCTTTGGCATGACAAAAACCTTCAATATAAGCTATACGCCCTACCACAAATATTCTATATCTCAGTAACTATTAAAGCTAGCCCTTTAACAATTGGATACAATGTAGTCCATAACAAATGAAATGCACTGCCAAAATATCTCAAAATCGGCAAATTGGCTGATACGCCCTTCTGGCATGAGACCCTCGATATAGATTTCTACTTTGTATATTTAAATAATCTGTATGTTTGCAGTTACCCCGGTTACCTCAATAAGTGCATCGGAGGTCGAGAAAATGAGGCTACAGAATGAGGTGAAAGAATTAAAGAGACAATTGAAAGTATCACAAGAAATGTGCGCGAAAAACGAAAGAGAAGCACAATATTATAAGTTAAAAGCCCAGGAGTACAAGAGTCAACTTATGAAAATAAACTGTGGGCATTGAACTGTGATAGTTTGTGAAAGACTGTGTAACTATAGGCTACTGTAAAAATTTACAAAATAATGGATTTTTAAGTTACAGTTTTGAGACTTAAATTTCTGAAGTGTTCGTTTTCCGCTGGTCCTATAAACAAGTCATCTATTTTTTTCACCAAAGAACTAACGTAATTTTTAATTACTTAACTGACGCTTACAGATGTCAAGCACAACATTTTAACAGCAATAGAATTGAATTAAGTATCCATAATCAGTGCTTTGTTTCATATGGATTGTAATTTATGAATTAAAAACAAAAAAATGATTGCAATATTTTATCCTTTTAATATTTTTTTATAGTTTGCCTTATTCAAACAAATTATCAGTATAATATTAATCAATTTTATTCATATTCACTCATAATTCTTACCAAAATAAAGATGATTCATATTTTGTTTTATTATCTTTCTTTGACTTATCAAAGAGGGTGCAATTGTTTTTTTAATTATAGTTATAATTGATTATAGTTTTCAAAACATACAATGTTTTTGGTCTAACTCTCAAAATATTTACACTATGTATAAACCTCAACCTTATAAGAAAGTTTATGATTTCTACTTTCAAATGGTGACAAAATTATGCCGAAATTATCAAAATTATGCAAACGGAGAGCGTTTAAGTGAACACTTACTAAATGCGTCGGAACACCGACATGTAACAGAGGAATCATCATGTTGAGTATTATTTACAATAAACTCCCAATAAAACTAAACCTCATAGATAACTGTGCAACAATGAATATCAACTGATTAGCAACAAAGTAAGGAAAAAACGGGGATATCAACATAAGCTTGTTTTGTCGTTAAAATGTGGCTCACAGTACTTTTAATTTTTTGTGTTCTTCTATTGTCTATCTATTATCTATTATTATTGTGTAGCTTAGGTAATCTAGCTGAACTCTATTCCTTTAAAAAAATCCTACATAATATACTGTATATCTTATTGAATTCAAGATGATTCATATTTTGTTTTATTATCTTTCTTTTACTTGTTAACATTTGATTATTGATTAATTATGTAAGGTGTAACAAGCTAAATCTTAGTAAACCTGTCCACAGTTAAGGTGTGAAACATTTTGATTTGTTTACCTTGATGTCAATTAACTTTTATCATTAAGTGTGTGAAATTATGAATATTTATAAGTTTATCAAAAATAGTACATGATTTTGCAAAACTGGTATGTTTTGCCAAGAGAAGTTTTGGATTTTATATTGGAAAGTTAATATTTTTATGAAAAGTTAGTTACTCTATGTTTCTCATTACATTCCAAATATTGCTTAGGATAGTATTTAAGAGTAACATTTAATTTGAGATTTTTATTTTAGATTAGAAGAAATGAGATCTGATTGAATATTTGAAGTTAAACATATTGATTGAATACATTTAATTAAATAACTGTCACAGAGTTTATATAATTGGAATAATTTAATGTAGGCTACGTAGCTTTCCTATTAAGTCATTAAGTAGTATTATACTTAGGAATACATTGTTTTACCCACTGTTTGCACTGTTTTGATCAAATCAAATCAAATCAAATCAAATAATCTTTATTCATTTTTTTGTATTTACATGAATACATTGGATAGAGTCACATTTCTTATAACTATAATGTCCTTAATTAAAATATTTACAAATAAAACTGTTTAATGTTGTTGTATGACAATGACACTAATAATTCTTTTTTCTTATTTTACATTCCTTGAATTAAAAAAATCTTTACTTGAAAAGATAGGATGAGTCAATAGGTATTCTTTAAGGCGGGTTTTGAAACTGGTATATTTTTCTTCACAAAGAATATTCTTAGGTAGATTATAAAGAAATTTAGTACCAATAAAAGTTGTTTTATTTTCAAAAATCTGTAATTTATGCGGTTCTACATATCTGTTATTCCTCAAGTTGTATGTATGTGATTTTTTACTGTATTTTTGTGTGTTTAATTTTTTTACATGTAAAATGGTTTCAAATATATATAGGTCATAAACCGTCATGATTCCTAATTTGGAAAAATATGGTTTTGTGGATTTTCTATTTTTTATATTAAAGATAATTCGTAATGCTTTCTTTTGCTGTTTCAGAATTTTTTTAAGGTTTTTATTACTAGTCCCGCCATATATAGCAATACCATAAGCCATATGCGAGTTGATCAGAGCAAAGTAGATTGATTTGAGAGTGTTATTATTGCATACATGAGACATTTGTCTCAAAGCATGTATGCCAGTTGACATTTTATTTACTACATGATCAACATGCTTATCCCAACTCAAATTCTCGTCTAGAATCAATCCAAGGAATTTTGTATGGTTTACTTGAATAATTTTTGATCCATCTAGCTGAACGTTTGGTTGTAATTTTAATCTAGCCTGTTTTGTATTGAATGATAAAAAATTTGATTTATTTGAATTAATTAAAAGATTTTTACTGTTTGAAAATTCACTGACTGATACAAGATTTAAAAATGTTTTAAGCTCTATTTCTTCCTGGGATTCCCCTGTAACTATGATACTGGTATCATCAGCATACAGGCATACAGAACCTCCTGCATTTATAGCTTTTGGCAATCCTCTCATGTAACAAAGGAATAATAGAGGGCCTAGGATAGATCCCTGAGGAACCCCGTGTTTTATTGTTTTAAAATCAGAATAATAATTTTGAGTATAAGTGTATTTACTATTGGGATAATTGAATTTATGTTGAATTTGGACACATTGTTGCCGATTTATTAAATAAGAAGAAAACCACTTGTGCTCCTTATTATCAATATTCAAACTAGAAAGAACATCAAGCAGCTTATCATGAGTCACACTGTCGAATGCCTTTGAAAAATCAAGGAAGATTCCAACTACTTTTTCATTTTTGTTGATTGAGTTTATAATCGATTCAATAAAGTTTATTCCCGCAGTAATCGTAGATTTACCAGGGCGAAAACCATGTTGTTCATTGTCAAACAACAGATTACTTTCTAAAAAGTTTAGCAGTTGGTTATACACCACTTTTTCTAAAATCTTTGAAAAAACCGGTAATAATGATACTGGTCTATAGCTCGAAGGTTCAAATGCATCCCCCTTTTTATAGACTGGCACAATTTTAGCAATTTTTAATTTACAAGGAAAATAGCCGGAAATTAAAGAAGAATTAATAATATGGGTTAATGGTTTTGAGATAAGTGGGAAAGCCTGTTTAACTACAGCAACTGGAATTTCATCTATACCTGTTGAAAGTTTATTGGTTAAGGACCTTATTATTTTTTCAACATCCCTTTCATCAACCTGCTTGAATTTGAAGTAGCTTGTGGGTTTAGGTGGATCATCAAAGTTCAATTGTTGAAGTTTATTGTTGTTGATGTTTGGAAGAACTAAGTTATCAATTACATTTATAAAATAATCATTTATTACATTTCCAACCAAAACAGGATCCGACTCAGGCTTACCATTTGATCTGATTTGCATGTTACTGTTTGGTTTTGTTTTGTTGTTAATCTCAGAATTGATTATTTTCCAAGTTGAGTTAACTATGTTTGTAGCTTCTGAAATCTTTTTATCAAAATATTTTTTTTTCTCATTTATTAAATCAAACTTTAACTCTTTTTTTAACTGTTTAATTTTGTGTTTAGTGTCATCATTTTTAAATAATCTGTATTGTTTTTCAAGCTCCACAATGTTCAGTTTTTTTCTTTTAATGTCAAGAGATATCCATGGATTGTTGTTGTTAATCTTTCGAGTTTTTAACGTTTTAGGAAAGCTAATTTCAAAGGTGTGTAAAAAAATTTAATGGAAAGTGTCATACTTTGTTTCTACTGTTGCTTGGTAAACTTCATGCCAGTTAACTTTTGCCAATAGTGTAAGGAATACGTTTGTATTAGTATCCGAAAAGCTTCTTGTATAAACTTTGTTTACACAGTTCTTACAACTATTTACATCAACCATTTCAAACAACTGTGCATCATGATCAGAAATGCATGTTATAATACCAGATATTTTTAATTTCTTATCCTTAATATTAGTTATAATGTTGTCTATGGCACTTTCTGTTTCTGAGGTAATTCTAGTGGGAAAATCTACTTTGTATTCCATATTATAAGATTTTAGAACATTCACAAAGGATTTGTAGGTTTTATCTTTGTTTAAAACATTAATATTAATATCTCCAGCTATAACAATATTTTTGAAATTTTTACTCAACAGATTACACATTAAATCCAGTTTATCTAAGAAAGTGCGGCTGAAGCAAGTAATTGGGGATCTATACAAACAAACTAATACAAATTTATAGGTATTTACAATAATTTCAGATATGCAACACTCAAACTCCTTTTCAACAATAAGATCTTGTATAGCAGGAATTTTAATACTTTTACTTTTTATGCTATCTTTGACTAAAATTAAAACTCCTCCTCCCAGAAAATGTTTTCTCGTGAAAAATGAACATTGTTTATAGTTTTGGATATGTAGGGACAAAATTTCGGATTCAATCATCTTGAGTTCTGATATTGCTACTATATCAGGCTGTATTTCTTCCAAATTAATTTTTATTATATTTAAACGAGAGGACAGATGTTGAACATTCTGATGTAGTATTTTTAAAGTTGTTTGAGTGTTGCTATTTTTAGTATTAACTAAAAAGCTTTGTTTACATGCAGAATCTTTTTCTTTGTCATGATTATTTAGTTTAAATCACAACTCAGAACGCTCACTCCACTGACACTATATTGCCCATGATTTTGAACACTTACACTTGACACAGATGTTGGTGGTGAAGGTACAGTTGTTGAAGTCTGAAGCTCGAGAGGGACAGTTGCTGAAGCTTGATTGCAGATAGCACTGCGCCGGATGAGACGCAGACTGTTAATGTGTCTCTTCACCAACCAGATAGACTACGACCAGTCCGACTGGACGGCCGGAGGGCTGACCAGGACCACGAGTCATCAATCCACCTCCAGGAGTCGCACCTTTGTCTACAGGATGAACTCTCTGTAGGACTCTCATGTGAACAACGGTGTGACCAAACTATCTCCCGTTGACCCGTCCATGAGGCGCTGTCGGTCCGCGAACTTCAACAGGACCAAGAGATGCAACACTTCAGTGTAGCACTATATATGGGTTAGGTATTTGTCATATGAAAAGCATGGAGGAGAGGAAAAGGAGGAAGGTTGTTGATTAAGGAAATGAAAAAATGGGAAGGATTATAAGTTGGGAATAAGATGTATTGAGGAAATGGTGAGAAGGCAGGGAGGAATGGGAGGAGAGGGAATAAGAGAAGGTACAACAGTCAAGGTCAACAATTTTCAAATGATGACGTCATGGAAGGTCATTAAGTCGAGCGATAAGTTCGAGAGAGGTAAAGTAAAGCACCCTGTCACCGGGGTACTTTGTCAGATATTCGTATTGATAGACGGAGGAGGAGATCAACAGCGTACCTAGACGAATACCATTATAAATTAACGGTTGATAAGAGGAGAGTAAAGAAATAGATAAAGGTAGGCTGGGAAGTAGAAGATAAGGAAGATGAAATTTATGAAATGATTAAAGGCTTTTGGATAGATGATGAAGAAAAAGGGTAGAAGGAGTTGGAAAATTAACGACGACGAGGAAGAAGAATTAAATAACAATAACTATCAAATGGAAACGATCGTATGAAACGATGGCAAGTGTCACAGTAGCTTAAACTACTGGATAGTAAATATTAAAAAAGAAAATTGATAAGCACCCAGTGAGCATTCATTATTTGCTATCCTTCCCACCCTTATCATTGATGATTAAAAATTTAAAAAATATGGTAACAACGCTGTCATTCTTTAAAGTTGGTACATAACAAATATTGAACGTGCGTGTACTTATATGTACATATATACATATCTGTACATATATGTTTGATATACTTTTACGTTTTACATAATATACACTAATAATATAAAGCAAAATAAAGTTATTTTAATAAATTCCAATAACTTATAAAAAAACTGAAATAATATAATTTTAATATTTGTAACAACGTATTTGAGGCAGACAAGCTTTTGCGTGTTGCTAAGATTATTTTAAGCTGTAAATAAATAATCTTGATTCACATAAAATCATAGTTTTCTAGTTTAAGGTATTTTTTTTTTCTAAAACGTTACCAACAAATTTATTTTATTCTATACTATTAACATAAAAAAAAAACATTTTCTTCTCCCCGTATCAGCAAACCCAAGTACTAGTTGAATTTAATGTTATTTAAATGTTGTAACGTATATGACTTGTTTATAGAAATATTTTAGTTGAAATGAAATCAGATAAATTTAAATTCGCTTTTTCTACAGAATTGCTGAGGTAACTATCCAACATATTCATTTAGGTTTTAATTATTCTTACACTGGAGATGTATCAATTGAGATCATTCCACAGTAACCATTGCCGTTTGAATTTACCTCCAACGATAAATTCTTACACTATAATTATTGATAACGGTTGTGTAAAGTTTTATAAATAGTTAATTATAATTCCGCATGTGTTGCATTTGAAGATAGCATTTCGACTGCTAAGCAGGGTTGAAAGCAAGATCCATACGATCACTGATACAAGAGTATAGATTAACCTAATATTTTCGAACAAAGTTTTTAAAGTGTGAGAGATTGGGGTGCAATTGTCGGGTTTACTAAAGGTTGTATTTTTCTATATGTTTTTGATGGTTCTATGAGAAATTACACTAGGTATTAAGTACTGTATTAGTATTTATCAAATTGTTGTTGAAATATATATTTATTACAATACGTATTTTATTAAAGCCGCAAAACTCCTAAACTTCGGAACATGATTTACGAAACACTTATAATACGTTATTATTACCAACAGTGCCATTGTATTATTATTTGTTTATACTAAGTGAAAAACCATAATATCCACCTTTTCGTAATAAAATATGACAAAGCCTTACTGTGGAAATATTCAATACTTTTTTGTTTATGAAATTGTTAAGGTTTTTTGTCAACCAAAATAGAGAGTATTATACATTCTAATGCAGAACTTAAATATAAACAGTTAAAACTTTTTATTTATTAAGAAATAATCCATAGGAAAGTCTTGTAATCAAATCAGACTAATGGCTTACACTAATATCTCCACTAACTTAGCCATATCTCCACGGTTGACATTGTCTGTTGATTACATAAACAAGGTCAACTGGCCTTAAGGGATACGCAGTTGATTAATTGCAATCTTAGTTGGTTTACTGCTGTTATTATGTGATGATTGTTATTATAAATTGAAATTCCACTGAAACTTAAATGATAAAATCCAAAATTAGCTGAAAATACGCGAGTTTCCTTTACTGCTTTTACAATCGAAATAAACTACACCAAGCCATGGCTCGGTCCCCAGGTACTACTAGATTAAATATTAACACAAATAATTAGATTTAATTATGCTATACCGTTTAAAAACATTTCTCACAACATTAAAATATTTTTCTTACCGCTTATAACGTTGGTTATTATTAAGTGAGTAAGCGGACCAACTTGCATTATTATAGCCATGAATGAGTAACGTTTAAAATGTACACTATTAATCACGACAAAAATATAGTATTGTAAGTTACCTTTTAGAAGAATCGCGACTAAAAATATTATTCTGAAAAGTGTTTTTCTTATATTTAAAGTAAAATATTCGACATTATCGGCATATTGTGTTTGATGTTCAAGAAACAAGCCGAAAGAAGAACAAAGTGTTCCCTTAGAATCGTTTGACAGTGTGAATGATGGTTTAGAGACTGAGGCTAAACTGCTAAATGAACTAGGTTTGAAAATTATGTGAGTATATTTTTGTAGTATGTTTATCGACCGTGAATGCTTCTGAGATTTCAAATCTGTGTGGTGAAACTGGAGTTTTATATGAAGTTGAATTTGGTTTTGATGTATAAAGTTCAGAGTAGAAAATTAGAAATGTTTAATCGAAATGCCCCATTAGTAACAAAAAGAGTTACTAGAAAGAAAGCACCGTGGTGAAACCAAAATATTATGGATCTCACAAAGCAAAATAACTTTTGGAAGAAAAAGCTAATGATTTCTAGAAACGACATGGGCAAAGATCAATACTGTAGAGCTAGAAATGCTCTAAACAGTGCTATTAGAAGAGCCAAACGAAATTATTTCCAGAGAGAATTAGCAAAATGCTCAAATACTAAGGATTTTTGGAAAAATATTAAGATGAGTGGGGCAATTAAGGCAAAAAATGCTGAACTCCCATCATTTCTTAGAAATCCAGATGAAATTAATAAACATTTTTCAATGATGGGGACAGGCTCTCAATTTCACTTTGAAACTCTTGATTATTACTTAAATAACATTTCTCAGAGTGTAGAAAACACATTTTCTTTTAGAGCAGTAACAGTAAGAGAAGTAAAAGATGCCATAAACAAGATCACCTCTATGGCTGTTGGCACTGATGAGATAACGATCAGCATGATAAAGATGGTAAGTCCGTACTGTATTGAGGCCGTCACCCACCTGTTGAATGTTTCGTTGGCTACGGGGGTGTTTCCGGATGACTGGAAGGAAGCCATTGTCATTCCTCTGGCCAAAGTTGGTGCTCCCTCTTCTTTGGCCGATCTTCGCCCCATCTCTGTGTTACCCGCTCTCTCCAAGGTCTTGGAGACTATTGTTGTCTCTCAGTTGGTTGAGTTCATGGAGATGGAGTCAATAATTCCAGCAACACAGTCTGGCTTTCGTAGGGGGTACAATACTTCAACTGCTCTGTTACTGCTTTGTGATGATGTCATAAAAGCTAGAGCTGAGAAGAGGTGTACTTCTCTTGCAATGCTGGATTTTTCGCAAGCCTTCGACTCTATTGATCACGATCTACTGTTGGCCATGATGTATCACTACAGATTTGACCAGCAGGTAGTGTCGTGGTTTCACTCCTACTTGAACGGAAGATGCCAAAAGTCCAAAGTTGGATCTGAGATCTCCGCCCCCTTGCAACAGTCCAAAGGAGTCCCACAGGGCAGCTGTCTTGGACCTGTCCTGTTTACTTTGTTTGCCGCATCTATAGGAAGAGATTTGCGTCATTGTCGGTTGTATTCATACGCTGATGATGCTCAGGTGGCTTTTCAGCATGACGCTGACCCAGCAAATCAGGCAGTCTCTGATTTCAATTCTGATTTGTATTCTGTCTTTGCATGGTATATGTCCCATGGCATCAAACTGAACAGAGACAAATGTTCATTGGTGACTTTTTCTGTCAGCAGGGTTGTTCGGTCCGAGCCCCTGTCTGGTGTATGCCTTGGTGGAATTCCGCTCAAAGAGTGTAAAGCTCCCAAGCTTCTTGGACTTCATTTCGATCCTGAGCTCTCATTTTCTGATCATGTGAGTTACGCATGCCAGAGAGCACTAGGTCGTCTGAGAATGCTGTACAGGCATCGTGACTTGTTCCCCAAACCCACTAAATTTCGGCTTGTGCAGGCACTTGTACTGTCTGTGTTTGATTACTGTCTTCTAGTGTATGGCAATGTTATATCACTGGGAGACATGAGTCGGATGCAGAGGGTGCAAAACATGTGCGTCAGGTACGTCTGCGATCTGCGAAAATTTGATCGAATTTCATCAGACCTCACATCTATTGGCTTATTGCCAACTTGCTGACCTGTGCCTTTTACGCACTTCCTGCATCATCCGGAGGTTACTGTCAGAGGAGAGACCTCAGTACCTGAAGGTAAGACTGAGAGCTCGCTCTGAGATGCGATCCCGATGCACACGGCAGGATGACATGCTGGAGATGCCCCGTGTGCGCTGTGAGTCCGACCGTTGTAAGTTTTCTTATTTTGCCCCTAAAATCTGGAATATATTGTCATCCAGGACTGAGCCAGGAATGTTGGACAGTGAAAAGTCGTTTACAAAATATATAACAAACTAGCAGAGTACCCGTCCTTCGAACGGGGTTGGCGTATAAGTATGCTTAATGCAGTTATACTCGTGCTTTGCGTTTGCAATGGGAGAGGACTCGTTTTAAGAAAAGTTTGTTTACTATAATTCACGGTAAACTATTACAGTATATAGCACATCTCCCATAGCCATAATGTTGTACCACTGCACCTAAACAATAGAAAAAAGAAATAAACGGTATCAGCATTCTGACACATACTTTCTCCCATAAGTTTGTCAACAACCTTTATCATGTGTAAGCGGTGAGAGTAAACGGAAATGGGATTTGTACAATTTTGTTCAGAATTTAAAGGTCTATAACATACTAAATCTTTATCAAAATTGTTCGAGCCAATTTTGGGAAAATCCGATTTTTCCGCCATTTTATGGGGTTTTATGGGAATATCCCAATTAAAAATAAAAATTTCTAAAAAATGAAAAAAAAACTATCAAAATTGTAAGGACCATAACATACTATGTTAAATCAAAACCGGATTTTTGTCTAAAATCCTATTTTTCGTTATTTTATGGGGTTTTTTATGGGAAAATAACATAATTTACGATAACTTTTGAACCGTAATTTTTACAGAAATGGGATTTGTACCATTTTGTTCAGAATTTAAAGGGCTACAACATACTAAATTTTTATCAAAATCGTTCGGGCCATTTTTGAGAATATCTGATTTTTCCGGTTTTTTATGGGTTTTTATGGGAAAATCCCCATTAAAAATCAAAATTTCAAAAAAATGAAAAAATCGCCTGGAGATACCGTGGATAAGATCCTACATACCAAATTTCATCGAAATCGGACCACAGGTGTAGTCTCTAGCTCTGTACACATCCAGACACACACACACAGACACACACACACACACACCAACACACACACACACAGACATCACTTCGAAAACCACTTTTTTGGGTCCAGGGGGACCCAAAACGAATATATCCACTCAAACTCGAAAATTTTGACGAAAACAATACTTTCTCCATATACTATGGTATAGGGGGAGAAAGTAAAAAGTTAAGTTCTCACAGCTTTGTTGCTTTGTTGCTGCTTGGTTCAAATTAGCTGTTGTCATAAATGTAAAAAGAATTAATAGTGCTGCACCCTGTTGGTAAACCTTATAACCTTTTAATGCTATTGAATATCATAGAATAAACTTGTGTAGTAGGAACAGCTGGCAAAATTCCTTAATTCCCTTTAAATATGAATTCTCATAAGGTTAACATGGGAAACTCTAGAGCCACTGGGGCGGAGCAAGAAAGGATTTTTGAGAAAAAAATATGTCTATATGTTAATCGGGAATGTGAGCTATCACACCAAATTTCAGCCCAATCCGACCAGTATTTTTCGCGTTTACTTGTCACAAACATACATACATCCATACATCCAAACTTTCTCATTTATAATATTAGTAGGATGGCTTGAAGAATGGTAAAATAAAAAGGAATAGAGAACATATTTTAATTTGTAATTAGCCTAACTTAAGATTTTAAAGTTGCCATTGTTTTATGTTATTTATGTTGACGTGAGTAGTTCTGAAAAACATATGTTGTAATATGAAAAACGCTTAAGAATAAAGACGATTTTCAATTCATTCATTTCATTTCATTCATTCAGAGTATCATCAACAAATAGTTTTGTCAAGCATTCATATTTTTTGTCAATTCATACAGGTATTCGTTTTTGGGTTGTTCATAGTTTATGAACTCATACTTCACCTTATTATTAGATTTCAATAACTTTTCATCAAAGTGTACGTGGTTCCATTTGAAGACAATTTTAAAATTAATTACAAATGCCAGTTAAGCGTTATGCCAAAGTACACTCTCTTTCAATTTGATTATAATACTTAATACTTTAATACTTTTCATTGAAATGGCGACCATACAAAGAAGGTATTTTAAGCCAAATATGAATGGAGATGAGTGTAGAATGAGTGGCGCGATCTTGTAGTCTTGTTAGTGACTAAGGCCGACATATTCCTTAGACACAGCTGTCAATAGCCTATACAGGTAATGGCAACTAAGGGACCTACAGTTTATAGTGGAATCCGAACCACATTTTTGCCTTGGTAATTAATGAAGTGCATTCCTATAAATATCCACAATTCGTGACCTCCTGGTAGCTGGATTACAGGACGACGGCACCCTCCCAGTCACTATATATTTATATATTTTTAACGTTATAACATGATTGTTTATTTTATAATATCAAATAGATTTTATATTTATAATTTACCAAGGTAAAGTTAGGTTGAAGTATACAAAGAAACCGCAGGAGGAGTTGAACATATTTAGATGTGTTCATGAGGGCTATATCCTAGGTAATCCAGACATTAATTGAAAAACTGATATCCATATTTTCAAATACAAGGCAAAACGCAAAAAAAAAACAGCACAACGCCACTAATTAATACCATAGATTAAACATACTCCCTTAGGGAGTATGTTTAATCT